GTTAATGCAATGAAATGATTTTAACGCACGGTATTGCTTTGAATTTTTCCAATTTGCACGATAGACTTTTCCAAAGCTGCCTTTACCAATCTCTTGAAAGTTGCTAAAATGTTCGTATTTGTAGTATTTGATATCCTTGTCTGAAATATATTCTTCAATCCATTCATTTATATTATTGGCAGTTTGCATGTTGATTTTTTATGTAATTGAAATATTTAGCTAACGAGCGAGAGAAATAAAAATTTTGAGGAAAAAAATGCGCTCGGTAGATCATGCAACGTTTAGTTTATTCAAATTTCTAAGCCACTGATCGGTGTAACTGTAAAAAAATTTGTCTAAAATAGTTATTGTAATTCCTTATTGAGCGACAAATTTTTTTCATTATTCTAAGAATATATACAATTTATTTTATTAAAATTTTAAGAGGAGTTTAAGTATTGAAACTTGTCATGTTTATGTTTTTTTATTAAAATATTAAATCTCATTATTTTAAATTGATAAGGGTTATTTCGTCTCTAATTCATGTAAATATAGATGTCCAGGATTATTGATTTCTTGAAAAAATTAATTTAATTAAAAAAAAAAAAAATTTTTTTTTTTTTTTTTTTTTTTTTTTTTTTTTTTTTTTTTTTAGAATTTCGAGAAATGATAACTGTTTCGTTAGTGAAATGCATGCTTATGATAAAATTTTCAAAATTAATGATAAAGTACCAGAATGCCAAATAAAATACGATTTTAGATATTTATTTATTTCTTATTTTTTTTCACAAATAATAATAAGTTCTGCTACTTGTAAGTAGGTAGTTATTAAATTATTTAAATCATTACTGAAGACTCTTATTTAACTTTGCTAGCTATGATTTGGGATTGAATTTATAGAATATTAAAAAACGTATTTCATAATATTTTTAACTAAAGCATTGCATCATACATAATTATAAGCAAATTAACGAACATGCAAGAAAATATAACAGAAATAATGATATTTAATTTCATATACAGTATAAAAAGTAGATTACATCTTCGAAAACGGTCTGCTGAAAAGTTTTGCGACCGCGCATTAATAACTATAGATGACCACAGTTCAGGAATATGAAAAGTATGAAAAGTGTAGACAAACAAGCATTGTAATTACGAAAAAATAAAACCAGAAATTGTGAGAAGATTTAGACAACGCAAAAGTTATACGTATGAGAATTCTTAAGATTTTCACAATTTTATTTAACTTACAGTTAAATTTAGTGGAAGTTTAGTGATATGTTAGGGTTGTTTTAATTAGCATGAAGTTATACCTTTGGTTATAATGAAAAATCATTTCATTCACGAGTACCAAAACAAAGTCCGATTAATTGGAAGAAATTTGTGGATCACCATCAAACCTAAAGTTTGCCCTCGCATATTTATATCAAATTCTGAAAATTCGAGTGCCTCCTTTAATTGAAATTATTTTACCAAAGCATAACCTTATCAATCCATCATCATCCTCCATCTCTCTGGAACAGCTTGCACCTAACGGTTCAATCACGCTCGTTCCGCAGGTTTGGGCAGCACAATTCTCCAAAGGTTGCATTGATCGTAATTGGATAAGCCTTCAATACCTTATCACATAAATCCTGATCATTAGATAGACAACTAAATCTTATATCAAAATTGAAAGTTACTTGATGTAGGTGATTTATGTGAGGAAAAAGGAATTCGACTTGAATATTTCCCTTCATATTCTTCTGACTTTAATCCAGTAAGTATTTTTAATTATATTACTATAATAATATAAATAATTTTATATTAACATAATAATAAATAAATTACAGATTGAACAAAGTTTTTTTTATATTAAAAATTATTTACGTTAAAATCGCATCTGGGTAGAATCTTTAGAAAATCCAATTGATGCATTGAATTTTAGTTGTATGATAATTGGAGATACATTAGCTAAAGCATGTTTTCAATATGCGGGGTATTTATAATTATATATCTTTAAAGTGATAATTACGCATTACCAGTATGTACAAAGATATTAAACATCAAGGAGAAAGTTAATAGCAAGAAAGGGGATAAAGTAATTTAATTTAGTTTTCTTGATAACTAAATGATTTATATTATGACAGATAAAAATAATAATCTATCACAGCAGAAGAATTTATCATTGAAAGCAAGTGTGATAGATATGAAATGTAGAAAGCATTAAATTCGTTTATGAATACAGATGGTACAAAAAGTTTAATTTAGAGTATAAATTGTTTTATATCATCATAATGTTTTCACCAAATAATTTTCATAAATTAAAAATTTCTTTGTAAGACTTCATTCTTATTATGTTACATAGGTAATACGCTTATATATTATGCGTTCATAATTAAGTCCAGAAGAGATGAACCTTATTGGAGTAATTAATGGGTCACAATTTTTATTACAACACGAAATTTCTATAATTACGAAATACTATATATGTTATAACAATTTCATTATATAATAAATTATAAATTTTAAATTATAAAAACATTTATTTGCGATCATAATTTATTTAACCATATCTTAATTACATATATTACATAATTACATATAAAATAAAAATAAAAATAAAAACATTCATATAATATTATCCTTACTATACGAACTTTAGATGTACAACCTATAAACCATAAAGTGTTGATATTTCAGATTATTTTGCATGGTTGAATAAATATTCGTTTCGGATCTAATTTTTTTAATGATTATTTTGAAAATGGGTGGAGAAGAAATTAGATAAATTTAAAATGGGAATATAAATTTATAATAAAAATTTCAAATTAACTACTTGCATGAATGCGAGAGGATTAAACTATGAGGTAATATATCAAGAAATTTCTCATCAGGCTTTGCCGTTGGTTGTGGTTGTTTCCTGTGGACTAATAAAACACAAAACGTTTTGAATGATTGATTTCACTCGCTTTCAAAAAAATAAAAATAAAAATAAAATATAAAAATACATACTGAAGTTCCGATAATGTTTGTTGAATTTGATTTCAAATCAAAGGACCACTAAAAAATAAATAATACTGTAAAATGTGAGTACTTGCGTCATAATCGTCAAGAGTCAAGACGTTGTAACTGTGGCCACGACGAGCTTTCAATTCCCAGATTATTTTTATATCTAGTGGCAGTGCAGCTTCAGATACACAACGACTCAACAAATAGTTCAGTAAGACTACTCACCCTTCTTCATTTCCAATTTTAATAGAATATTCAACCCCAACGACTTGGTTTTTTTCGTTCCTAGTTGGTTTTTTTTATTTCAATAATTTGGTATTATTTATGGTGGGATTTCATTTATATTCCCAGAAAACTTGTTTTTTCTTACCATAATTAGAAATTGAACACCTTTCACATGACTATCAGAATCGCAAAAGTATTGTTTCTACAGGGGTGTTTTAAGTAGCAATATATCCCTACCCTTCACTCATCTTTCGAGCATGAATGGGTACAGACGCCCTCTTCAAAGCCTAAGTT